AAGAAAACTGTACCAGTCCACAGACAGGAGCTCCAAGGGAAGAAAGTAGGAATTCTGCTATGCCTGAGCATCCAGTCTGCTATGCCTGAGCATCCAGCCTGCACTGTTCAGGAAAGCTGAGTATCTTGCAAGTACTCTGAATGTCTGAGTGCATTTTCTCTGTGCACCTGTACTTTAACACAGCTGTGGGGCTGGAGCCAAGAAAACCAGTTTTGAAGCAGTGAAGTTACAATACAGCTCCAGAGTTACACTGACATCAGACCCGTAAGTTTCTTGTTGAAACTTTCATTGGGATAACAAGAAAATCAAATTTTGTGATTTGAGGGCACCAGGGCATAATTCACATAAAAAAACCCCCCAGTCTTTACTGAAAAAACCTTCAGTATAGATTATATTATCCTCCTTTTCTGTACTGTGGCACAGATGACTTGTACCTACAGCATAAACACATATACACAAATTAACATTTTCTGCCAATTTTACCAGGTACAATAAGCAGTAGCAGGCTCCTCTGGAAAAAAGGGAACAAAAGGGCATAGCTCAGAATGGCTACAGAAGATTTGCTACTTACCTCTAGTTTGCCCAGGTGAGGTCCATTTCTGGCTTTTCTTTGATCAGTATATCTGTAAAAAATACAGATGTTGCAGATGATGTAGATATTTCAGATATTATACAACAGTTGCCTCTCAGAATACTTGGTGGGGATTGAGAAGTCACAGGCCTAAAGCTCTTGTGTATTAAAAGGTGTAGATATTTTCTTGATACTTAAATGGAAGCAGATAACTTCATAGCAGAGTCCCCTAAACCTTCAGAAGAACTAAAATTCATTTACAACAACACTGATAGACACATTTATTACTCAGAAAATACTGATTGGCTTAGAAGGGAATTTTAAGGTATTCCCTACATCTACATTAGAACATAAGAAATTCCGGTTACAAATATGTAATGTATTGAATCAATTGAGCAACAAGCTTTGAAAACTGGTAGAAAAAGATGAATAATGTAAAAGGATTTTTTGATCAATAAGGTAGGAGTAAAATGCATTACTAAATATGAGATCTGTCAGACAGAATAAGACACCTTAATAAACCTGTTTGTGTCAACTCCTAACCAGCCAGATTTGAATCAAGATTATGATAATACAAAAAGCAGACAGTTGGAAGCAAGTTTGAATTACCAGAAGATAAACATGCACAGAGTGAATTTTACAGAGAAGATTAGGAACACTTATTGTGAAATAGCCTGATGTGAGCTCTGTAGATTGCTTAATAAAAGTGTGTTAACAATAATATCAGAAACTAAAGAAAAGAACCTGTAAAAAAACTGATGGCCTTGAAATGGGCAAGGGCACTATGGTAAGATTATGAGTCCACTTTAATATAAAGATAAGACAACCTTTTCAGAAACTGAATTCAAAGACAGGAGAGTTACCTCCTGCCAAGGTAAGGAGTATTTTTTCCACATAAATCAGTATTTTACATATGTAAAAAAGAATATGGAGAACAACCAAGAAGAAAACACTTCTCCCCATTCCTGACTTCAGCCCATAAGGCCTCAGAGCTGGAGAGGTAATGCCTCGTAGTGCTTGGTGTGGGGCTGGAAATGGCACAGCTGCAGCTCCCACGCTGCTCCTCTGCTTTCCAACTCAACTGCAAATTGCCTGGTAAGAGGCACCAGGCTGGAAGCTGCCACACTCAAAACAGCTTTAACAGAGTTACAAGTACTAACTTATAGCCTCAGACAGCTTCTAATCAGTGTATCGACAGTGAGTGGGAAGGCACTAACTTTGGAGATATCAATTTAAATTATTTGCTCCACAACAGAATTGTTAGGTAACTTCAGGCAAATCATTGAAGGCTTTACAGCCTTAGTTAGCCAGACACAGGAGCCCAAATCCAGTAAATCTTCATGCAGACATGCCCATAGCAAAGCCCCAAATGTACTGCTTTATCTTCCAGGCTATTGTAGGCACAGAGTTATTGAATTCACCACGGGATGCCACTGGACAAATTCAAAAAGTAGCTGGCACTCATTCAACTGCAGCAGGGGATGTCATCCCACTCCTCAAGAAGTGGGCTATGGGAACCTCACAAGGCTTAACAAGACCAAGCACAAGGTGCTGCAGCACCTGGGTCAGGGTAACCCTGGTATCAGTCCAGTCTGGGGGTGAACAGGATGAGAGCAGCCCTGGGGAGAAGGACTTGGGGGTGCTGGTGGGTGAGAGGCTGGAGCTGCCCCAGCCATGTGCTCTGGCATCCAGAACCCCCGTGTGCTGGGCTCATCCCACAGCCTGGGCAGCAGGGCAGGGGGGGATTCTGCCCCTCTGCCCCCTCAGGTGACACCTCACCTGCAGAGCTGCCTCCAGCCCTGGGGTCTCAGCACAGGGAGGACTTGGAGCTGCTGGAGTGAGCCCAGAGGAGGCACCAAGAGGATCAGAGGGATGAGCAGCTCTGCTACGAGGAAAGGCTGGGAGAGTTGGGATTGTTCAGCCTGCAGAAGAGAAGGCTTCAGAGTGACCTAATTGTGACCTTCCAGTGCTGGAAGGGAGCCCACAAGAAAGGCTCTTTTACAAAGGCATGTAGTGACAGGACAAGGGGGGAATGGCTTCAGACTGAAAGAGAGTAGGTTTAGATCAGATATTAGGAAGAAATTCTTCCCTGGGAGGGTGGGGAGGCCCTGGCACAGGTTGCCCAGAAAAGTTGTGGATGCCCCATCCCTGGAAGTGTTCAAGGCCACGTTGAGTGGAGCTCTGAGCATCCTGGGATAGTGGAAGGTGCCCCTGCCCATGGCAAGCGAGTTGGAACTGGATGATCTTTAAGGTCCCTTCCAACCCAAACCATTTGGCACTTAGTGCCATGGTCTGGTAAGCACAGTGGTGTTGGATCAAGGATTGGACTTAATTACCTCAGAGGTCTTTTCCAACCCAGTTGATCCTATGATTCTGTGATTCTGGAAAATGTCTGGAAGACCTTGTAGCACACTGGTTCTGCCTTACCTCTGGGTTCAACCCTAAACAGAGATATTCTGTTCAAAAGTTCAAAACTGTGACAATGTGGTCCTAGGAGACACCTGAACTTTACAAATAAAGTACTTCCGAACTTTTGAAAGAAGTTTATCTGCACAGGTAGAGAGAGATGGAAGGTTAAGCCTCCATTAAGAGCAGATGGTAAAAGCTCTCTTGCTCCCTGTCTCTCAATCTCCATTGACAAAAATGGATATTAATATTGCCTAATTCACAGAGAAGAGTGAAGTGATCCAGGATTATTACAGCTATGAACTGCTATATAAGCATAACAAATGGCTATATATTCCCACCAATTCATCACACACTTACAGCTGGATAAAATATTCTTTGTTACATACTTCTAGCTAAATTAGTGCTAACTATAGCTTTCAGGCAAAGTCATAAGTACTTTGGTTGGATTTCTTCAAAAGAATAGTCATAGAGGAAAGAATTTGTATTTATTCATGCAAATCAAAGGTATTTCAAATGTTGCTTTAGTTGAAATTATACCTCTTCAACAAATAGAATGTAAATATTTCCATTAAATGCTTTCAAAAAGTAGATTCTTTGAGGGGTTTTTTTTGCTACATCAATATTTATGTATTTCTGATTGAATAAATCTATTTCCTGGGTCCAAATACTTGTAGTGTATCCTAAATGTTCTAAATAAAAATCAACCATGTTTGAGAATAGCTTGTATATGTAAGGAACAGTGTTCTATAGGTTGAATAACTACAGTTTATAATTGAAAACTCATCTTTTTCTAGAAGCATAGCTGTCATCAGCAGACAATCTTGAGCACTCAAAAAGAACATCTCCCAGTTTTTCCTGAGGCTTCTTCAGGAGCACAAAGAGATGGTATTGCTTCTGAAATCTGTACATCAGTGCTTCTGCCATTCTGCTGTCTATCTTGTATGTACCTGCTCTACACATCTGGTCTGGGCTGCTGGATTGCTATTCATCCTTTTATACTGCTGGGAGGTGTCCCTGGGGAATGATATCTCTACAGCTACTGTACAACTCGAGGTTACAATCTCAGTAACACCTTCTGCTATAATTATGTTTAGACTGGTGCTTTAAAACTATCCATTTCATTAATTCTCAATTTGGAGCCTGAAGCAAGGAGCTGAACATCTTACTACACACAGAATGTCTGAGAGAACAGATCTGAAAGTCCCAGATGGATTTCTTCAAATAACAAAAAAGAGCAGAAACAACAACAACAACAAAACCTTCCAAAGGTGCTTTTCTCAAATATAAGGTGTCAGCCCCTAAGCATAAAGATGCAATTAATTTTTAAGGATTCCTCATTACACATAAATGTCCTAAACCTCTGAATGTTTGGTCCATTCTCTCCTTAAAGGCCTCAGAAGGGAGAGAGGGACAACATTTATTAACTTCATAATGTGAAGTTAATAAATCTAGATTCTAGCAAGAAAGATTTGATGCTTCAAAAAAGATGTCCTTTCACTCTTGATGAGATCAATTTATCTGGAATAGACAAAGTAATTTAGAGGACACAGAAAAGTTATCACATAAAGTTACTAAGAAAAATTTAAATCAGAGCTTTGATTATAAGTCCAATAGACAGCAGAAAGTGCAGGTTTTAGAAACTTTACAAGTGCCATTTAGGCCTATCATTCTTACTGCTGAAATATTCCTTTGAAAGAACCTCCCTTTAATCCATGTTAATCCATAAATTGCTTTCATGGCCAGCACTTACCTAAAACGTGACCAGAATTTTTGGGACTATGGAGATAGGTATAAAGCAACAAAAACATCTCTTACACATGCTTTGAAGTTGCAAAGTTCAGTCTCACTCAGAACAGTTTAATTAAAAGCAATTACTTCATATTAAGCCTTTGCACCAAAAAGGGTGGGATTTTCATCGCATGGATTGCTCTTAACCTGGAAAGTTTCTCACTGATTGAGGCAGTGTGTGTTCTGAGTCAATCCTCCTGCAAGATTTGGCAAATGGGCTGCCAAAACATTACTGTGCTGCTGCTGTATAGCACCATCCATCATTGTACAGGTAATCCCAACAGTTCTGAACCTGTCAAGTCTCAAAACCTTCCCCTTATAGTTTCTTTGCAGGGATGTCCTAGACTAAAAGAAAAGGAGAAAACCAGTAAATTAATCTGAACCTGTTCCTTCTGCTCCCTCTAATATTTCCTAATTCAGCCTTACATTAATGTTTGTCTCAAAGCTTAATAAGCAGAGCTGAACATACAGCACGAAATTGTGTAAAGTAAAGGCAGATAAACTTAGAAAATCACTGTGAAACTCCTGAGAACCCTTTAACACTGACAGCAGAGAAATCTGTGGGATTGTCCCAGTTCTGGTGGGACTAATACATGTTCTTGTTCATGCCTCCTCCATTCACCTCATCCTCCCCAGGGTCTTCCAGCACTGTCTGCACTTCTGCCTCTGCTCCATGCTCTGCCTCACCCACTGACCAGTCTTCCCCAGGGCCCCAGATGGTTCCTGTTTCCATCTCTGTGTCCCACCTGCCATCTGGGTCTGCCCTTCCTCACACCACTTCAGCTTGAGTCTCCTATCCAGGCAGCTCCAACCTACTCCAGCCTCACCAGATTGCAGTTCTCACATCACCTCCTTCATCCTTCTCTCCTCTGTCTCCTGTCAGCCCTGATTGTATCTGGTCTCACGTCTGCAAGGACAGGAAGAGCAGCTCTGTTTTTGCTTTAAGGTCCAGCCCTAGTCCAAGGAAAATGTGCTGGGAGAGCTCAGCTCAGTCCCTCCAGCCCTGGGGTGGTGCTTTCTAGACAGCTGTAGAATCCTCAGAACATTTGTCAGACAAGTATAATAAGCCTTGTGCATCATATGGTTCTGCCAAAGCTGAGGAAACTTTCATGCAAATTGCAGCAAGAACATTTCCTGCATTCCCATCAAATTTAATCCCTTCTCATAGGAGGACACAGTTTATTAATGAAACATCTGCAAGTATTTTTAACCAAGACAAAAATGAGTGCCATTCATTCTTTGTAACAGCTGAATCTCTCTCATTGAAAACTTAACACACTTTTTTTTTTTTTTGGTTGTCAAACACACAGGAAAGAGGCACAGTTGGAGTGAAGTTAATTCCATCAGAAGCTCAGTTAATTTTTTTATATAAAGTTTGGAAGAAGTATTCTCCAAGATCTATTTGAACTCTGGCATTAAACCATTTGTCCCAAAGGTTCAAAAAAAAAAAAAATAGAAAAAGGAAAAAGTATTTTTTCTAACAGAATAAGAAGAAACTTTCTATGTCCCATTAGAACTATGTACTACCACAGGCCTTTATCACTACAATAATGAGTAAAGAAAATGATATATATTTAACTCCACTATCATTAAAGATTTAAGATTATTGCAATAATTTTCTACTTCTCTTTTGCTTTATTGAGCTTAGTCAAACTGATATATTGCTGTGTACTTCATTCATTCCTGCTGATGGATGGTATGAATTATGTAGACAATGCTGATGTCCAACTAATAAGAGGAACTACAGAAAAGAGAAGATAAGCAGTTGTAGATGATGAAGTGCTGATTAATAGATTACCCCCCTTCTGACAAGTCCAAACCCATATTTTAAACTGCCAACAGCATTGCAACTGAATGAACAAGTATTTCTGGAATCCAGAAAATGTTGAGGAGCTGACCTTTCTCAAAATTAATCCTTAACAGCTTCTTTCAAGATTTATTTCTTTCTCCTAGTTTCGAACAAAATCAGCAACAGTGTGACCTGAGCTCCATGATTTCTAGTGGTGAATGTATAAAGTACTTTTTGGCCTAGAGTTTGATACTCTTGATACTCTTGCCTTGGTTTTCACACGCACCCTTCAGGCAGTACTGCTGACTCTAGTGACATTCATTAAGTCTGGGTTCAGAAAGGAGGTGATGTCATGGGGTAAAGCCTTTGAATCCACATTGGTTTGTATCAGCAGTAACAGCAACTGAAAGCTGGTCCTAACCTGTGCCGTGGAGGAAACGGGATAGCAGACCTAGAGCTCCAGATGGGCTTAGGAAGAAAGGAGGAAAAGAATGTTTTGAAGGATGACAGTAGCTCCTGAGGAATGAAACTCACTGATGAAAGTCCACAGAACACACTGACCAGCACAGCTCCCCCAGTGAAGGGACACAAGGGGAGTTCATCTTCAGAGAGGCCTGAACTTATGGGGGAGGCAGAGGAATAAACTGTAATTTCCCAGATTCACTTGGCACCAAAATATCTGCCCAGAGGTATTATAGGGTTCAACAGCCTATACAACAGCATAGAAAAATGCCTGGTCTTCCCTCATCCTATTTCTGCTATTGACAGTGCAGAATTCATCTTCAGTCCCCTCCACAGACTTGCTGTATGAATGTCATTTATAACTTCTCATGAAGAGAAAGAAATCAAAACCTCTAAGAAACATGCCAGGTTAAAGTACTACAGAGCAAGGGACAGAGTCAGATGAGTTATCTGCCTTTTCCAGTAAGATGAGAGAATGCTGTGTCAGTTATAAAATATTCACATGGATAAACTTCTGTCTTTCAGAGTGATAAGTATTTTTTTAAAATTAGTTTATGATTCCTGGATAGGCAATGTGCTACCTAGTGGGGAACCCCTCTAGTAACAGGTCACCACTCTGATGTCACCCATCAGATGGGATGGACACTTTGTCTAGAAGGATCCTGGGAGAGACAGTATCAAAAGCTTTATTAAAATCTCGAAAGATTACATCAACTGGCTGCCCTTGATCAACTAAGAGGGTTACCTTGTCATAAAAGGAAATCAAAATCAGATCACCAGTCTCTAAGCAACTTTCCTTCAGCTATGCTTAGGGATAGGGAAGAGAGCAGGAAAACTGGGTCACCAAAGACACAGAAAGAGGGAGCACTATAACTAATATATACACTTACAAAACCCTTGCATGGGAACACCAAGTCTAGTACAGCTTATTTTAACTCATGTGAGCTGGTGCTGAGCTTGAACTCTGACAGTATTATTAAAGTAGAAAATTCCCAGCACTTCTTTGCCACCATCCAAGTGCAGGAGAAATTACATAGTTGTCTGCAGCCCAGACCTAGGGCGCCCCAAAGGGATCTTCCCCGACCTTGGGTGCATGTCTGAAAAACCAGACATGTGCCCAAGAGGGATCCAGAGCCGCCTCCTACAAGTCAGTGTTGCATCTGCTTCAAACTGGTTTCAAATACCCATGTGGTGTTTGAGTGGGTACACTCTCAGTCTCACTAATAATTATTATGAGGCCAAGCAGGACTGGCATTTTAATCACAAGGGAGCTTAAACACTCACATGTGCTAAACACCTGAGAATTAAAAGACTGTGAGCATGAGCGAGGATAAATTAACATTCCCAATTTGCTAGCTCCAACATTTTGAAGCGAAAAACACTTTTCCCCACAGACAGTAAACCACAAGTACATTTATTTGTACTAATTTACCAGACGTTTATTTTGGCACTGTTAAAGCAACGATGTCAAGTTTCCACCTTATCTTTAAGCTATATACAAAGAGATTTTCTCATAAAAATAATGTGCTATTTAATCAACACACACGCACACAAGCTGTTAAGTGTAACAAAGCCTAACTTCTCCTGGAAAATGTGCGACTTTTACAAGTCCCCACAGCACAGTCTCACACAAGATCAACAGCATGTTTTGGAGAACAAGAATAATGTAGTGATGATCAGAGAGTGCACGGGCCCAGCTACACAAACACATGCACACTCCTTAGCCAGAAGGAGCAGGTGCTCTTTGACACTGGAAATCTCCTCACTGTACAGCAAGATATTAAGGAAGAATTGCCTGCTCCTCACTCCCTTTAAATATTTGCTGGTGTAAATTTCAAGAGAATAAATATTTTTTTTTTCAAGAGTAGCTGATAATATCAGCTGTAGATTACATGAAAACATTTTTATTAACAGTAGGTGGACAACAAATACTGTTAGGAATTATTCTGGTCTCTGCAAGACAACCTGAGACTTTTTGAAGTTCTGTCTTTCTGAAAATGCCAAGATATTTCAACATTATGAGCTAAGAGTCATAAAAAAATAGGTTTCTTATTGAAATTGGTTTTGAAATAGATGTCTGAAAAACTTAAGCCAACATTTAGCCTACAGAAAATATTTAGGACAGTTTATAATTGAATTTATATAGATGTAAAATCCCATTTTTGATATAATGCCTCCAAAAATTGTCATCTAACAGTACTGCTTATACTGTACTGTGAAAAGCAGCATAGCAAATATTTCTCATGAAAATTTACTTCCTCAAAAGCAAACAAAAGAGCTGCACATCTAACCTGTACCACCTTTAGAATTGTGGCACTGGAAACACAAAGCCTCAAGAATGGCCTACATTTTATCAAATATCTTGAAAAGACAACTTAACTTTATCTAAAAAAAAAAATTCCCCCCAAAATCCGACTCCATACTCAAACACTAAGAGTCCAGAGAATTTCAGCTAATTTCAGTTTTTAGTGGGCAAATTAAACCCATTTGGAAAAAACCTCAGCCAGATCATATGCTCATGGATACAATACATAACAAAGCACATCCAAAACCATCTGAAAACACCTTACATTAAAGCCAATGCAATTAGTTGAGGCCCCAGGTAAAAGATAAACTGCACTAATAAAACCCCATGTGCCAGAGTTTGTTGGTCAGTACCTCTGTGTTACATGAAGCCTTTGGGGCACGCTGAGAGAGGGACCATACTGATTCATTAATTAATGTCATCCAGGAATGGTTTCTATTCACTTGGCATTTTAAAACTGGACCTCAAGTCTGCTAAATACTGTAACCAAGTAATGCATGGAGCTCTCAACTGCTAAAGGCTGCTCCCAGGACATCAAACTGCTTCCTTGGACAGGAGGATACTGCGTGATTAACCACAAACAATGACATTATGCCTTCCAGCAGGGAAGTCTCCATCTGTATCCCTGTAGGACTGACCCCCCTTCTCTTGCAGAAGTCCAGAAAGCACCCTAAAAGGATGTTCAGGAGGCAAAAGGGATGCACTTCAAGACAGTATGAACAGCAAAATGTGTAAGATCCTGTAGAATTTGGAGGCACCGAATCATACAATCATAGAATGGTTTGGGTTGGAAGGGACATTATAGATCACTTATTTCCAACCACTCTGCCATGGGCAGGGACACCTTCCACTGGTCCTACACTGGGCTGCTCTAAGCCCCATCCAATGTGGCCTTGAACACTTCCAGGGATGGGGCAGCCACAACATTTCTGGGCAACCTGTGCCAGGGCCTCCCCACCCTCCCAGGGAAGAATTTCTTCCTAATATCTAATCTAAACCTACTCTCTTTCAGTCTGAAGCCATTTCCCCTTGTCCTGTCACTACATGCTCCTGTGAATAGCCTCTTTCAGTAAATAATCTCACAGTCTCACAGGCATCATGTTATACTATCACTAAAGAAACTATCCCTTGTACATGAGAATATTTACAGACACCCTCACCTAAACCATTCCCTCTCTGCCCAGCCTGTTTTCATACTGCTGGCAAGGCACAGCCTGCAGCTTATGAGTCCAGAACAGAGGGATCTCTTTGTAGGAGGAGCTGGTGGGACCTCAAACAGTAAATATTTTGGTTTGACTCTCTCAGAAAACTTAATGAAGCCCATTATCTGATTTCCCAGGCACCCAGTCCT